GGTGTGGTAAATGACTGCAATTAGAAGAGCGGATATAGATCTTGGTAAACGCTTAGGTCTAAGTAGTAACCATAGGGATTCAATGGCTGAATCCTCGAAATGCTCGAGCCTCCTACAGTAAATTTCTTCTTTAATATAAATGGAAACGCCGCCACCGCAGGAGTATGTGCGATCATTTCTGAATTGGATGAAGTTCGATAACGAAATCATTGAGTCCACAACAGAGGTGTTAAGCCAAGATTCAGTAATGCATATGACCTCAACTTGGTTAATTTGAGCTACCAACTCTAGTTCGTCTATTTTATTAATTATAGAACGGACATTGGCCACCAGCAGGGTAGGGAGCGGGAAATTGTTATCACGAGCTACATACGACGTGGAAATGGTGGGTGTGTTGGCCAGGGTTGGAGTAACCATGGCCTCGGAAGGTAATTTGGGGGATACTGCTTGTTCGTTATGTCGCGTGGGCGCAGAAGGTAATTTGGGGGATACTGCTCGTTCATTTTGTCGCGTGGGCGACGTAAATACTGAGGGGGATGAACTGGGGTCATCATTAGTGGTCGTGGATACATTGATTTTGGTGGAGGGAACAGCGGTTGAGACACTGAATACCGGTGATAAGGGGGGTGAGGTATTTGAGCATACTCGAGACTCTGTAATCTTGTTTCGAGTTGGCGCATCAAAGTCGGAATATTTTGTAGGTCGTGACTTCCTAAAAAAGGATGTAATTGGGGGCATTGTAAGTTATCATTTGTTACCGGATGATTTCCAGTTGGATACGAATAGGGTTCGACATGGGAAAAATCACATCTGGATTCTTTCAAACAATAGCCCTTGTTACGTAGAAACGGACAAAATATGGAGCCTTTTTTATCGTTGGAATGCTGGCGAGCTTGATCATTATTAACCATATTTCGATGAGAAAAGTCGCACTGTTCACCTTTTAAGCACCAGCCACGCCTCAAAATAAACGGACAAGGCGTTTCATTTTTGGGAACTTGCATCTCATTGGTTGGCGGTAAGTTTGCATCGCTCACATTTGGGACAGGGACATTAACTTCTACACCAAGAGAACTTTTGGGCATTAAGTCTGCATTACTCGCAGGTAGGACAGGAACAACATCACTCACAAGTGGAGAAGGGTCATTAGCATTGATACTAAAATAACTTTTTGGAGAACTACAATTCGTCATACAATTTTCGTTGGTAGACTGATTATTATTCGAGTGCGTGGGTAATAGTATTTCGCAATTACTCTTTCCAACATCATTATTGGACCCTTGGGGATTTACTTTCGCAGTGCATTGTATCTGGCTATCAAGATCAAGTGAAGCGTTCAATTGAGGATTAACATTAAACAATAGCGTTTCCAAGGACAAAAGCTTGGACTTAAATACAAATATTTCTTGTTGAAGTGAATTTATTGTCTCGTCTTGAGTTTTAATAATATTTTTAAGGGATTTCTGTGTAGATTGCAATGACTTAATGTTAGATTGCAGAGAATCATATTGATTATCTGTACCAAAACAAGACTGCGACCAAATCTAGCTTAATACCCTCTATTTCTGCAATAATTTCACCTTGACTACATGTACACGCACATGCAGACTGAGTCGATGATCCATTTATTAAACTCGAAGTATATTCAGTCTGGCTCTCTTCATTAACCACTAAAGTTACGTTCAGGTCTTGCTCTCGCCGATCAGGACCATCACAATCAACTCCACGCACTTGTAGGTCCGCCTGATCAAATAACTGTTCACTCACCGCGATCGATGTAGTCTCTTTGTTTACATGTTTGTTTGCAATCGATATAAGTTTTGATTTCGCTGCTTCAACGCTCTTAGGATCGCCCTGAAACACTATCGTATTCTGCTTTCTGCAATACCAAACGAAGCCAAACTGCTGATCAGGTTCGACTGATTTGAGCGTAAATTTTTTGGCGTTGCCACCCGGTGATGACCATCTACCGTCCATGCGACGCGAAGATTCTATAAACAATTTTAAGTCCTCCAGAGAGCCCAACCACTTTAATTTCCCCTCGTCAGCGACTAAATACTCCACCAGTCCATACGAAACTCCATTTGGGGACGAAAGAAAGCCCTCAACAAAGATTTCAATCTTTTTAAGAGCTTGACTAACAGCGTTCTCCGCCATATTGCGACATTTCTCCGCCATATTGCGACTGTTTTATCGTGTTGCTTTGAAAGCCCCCTCATTCCAGTCCAGCTCCTCCCCCCCCCCCTGATGGAATGTTTTCAAACGAGGAGGCCAGGTTGCTGAAGCAGCTCTCGTGGCGACGATCATGGGGTTAGCGCGTCTGTCGAAAATGAAAATTTGGACTTTTGACAAACAAAGTTCGTCGTGTGTCGCGGGAATTACCGCAATGGTGAAGAAACCAAGTTCTTTCGAAAGAGGAACGTTCGTGCTATTAGACGATGTGAAATTTATTGCTCTGCGACGATTCTGAGGCGAGATATTGGACTCGATGTCGGAGAGTATATCAGATAAGTGGCTAGCCTTGTAGTTATTTATGTCCTAGTATGGCCATGTCGTTCAGTGCCAGTACTGACGTCCGTTCAAGTACGACGAAAACGTAAAGCAATCGCATCAACTAAACTCAGAAACACAACAAATGGATTCTATTAACAAGTGAGATATATTTGTTACATATATTGTTAATATTTTTTGAATTATTTTGTTATTTTAAAATATTATAACGGTTAAATATTCAAAATATATAGGACGTTCAGAGATTGGGCCGCCTGTGTTTTAACTTACTTTATATTCTGTTATTTTGTTGTGATTTTGGAGCCGCTGTGCTCGCATTGATTTGTATTTATCAGGCGTTTATTATATAGGGCGAAAGGGCACGCTATCAAAATATTGAATTTAAACAGTATATTAAATACTCAAACTGAAATGGAATTATTGTGCTCGCATTGATTATATTGTGTGCAAAACTTCAAAACTGCAGTAAATTTTGTAAATAACATGAAATATATTAAAAATATCAAACAGATTCTCATAAATGCTATTGAAATTACAACGACATAGCATTCTACGTCGATAATTTCAATCATAGTTTAACAATTATTTTCAATCTGTAGTAATTCACCGTTTCCATGTTTCTTTATACTTTCAATAAAGCTACAATAAAGCTAAATTTGTAGGAAATAACATTATTTAGGCCTGGTTTATACAGCGTGCTATGAGCGCACCGAACCAATTACTTAACTAATAAGTTCGCTCATAGCACGCTGTCTAAATCAAATTGGTTCACTCTCTGAATTAGGTTCGCTCCTGACCGTGCGGCTCGCTCGTCGAAGGCGTGCCGAACGCTCGTAGCACGGTTAAGCACAGGGCGCTTATATATAGGGCGGTGCAACGGCTATTGCAGCGCTGATCGATGTGTGATGCAGAGGTATGGTGACGAGTCCGTTGTTGTTGCCATGGCGACATTGTTTAACAACAAAATGGCGGGTACGCTTGAGCAGGAAGCTTTCGAAAAACATATTGATGAGAATGAACAAAAAAATCCATTGCCGTACAATTCTTTAGCAGATTTTTCTACTATACTTTCAGGTATAAATAAAAATGTTTTGAAGTCTCTGCTTGAAACGCTTGACAAAGTTTACAAATCAATGTCGAATGAGCGAATTGTAATATCATTGGTTTTGCAAGCTTTGCTTGACACCTGTAAAACTAAGGTTGTCGATGATTTTATACAAAGTGTTTTAAAACTCGTTCAAGATTGTTTTCACGAGACCGAAGATGTACCAGTTGTTCAGAGAGCAGTAGCACTCGAGAGAACGTTTTCACGAAATAGATCCGATGGCATCCACTACTTGGCGGTAAAACAATCGTGGGAAAAGTTAATTTTTTGCTCAGGTCAAAACGTACAGCTCAGCTCTGCTTCAGTGGATGTAATACTGCAGCAAATTCTCCAGCATTTCTGGTTCACCAGTACCAATACTCAAGATGCAACAGTAGATATATCGAATGTGGATTCACTCCCTGCAACTACAAGCTATATTGATGCAAACCAGGACAATGACACTATTCGGGACCATGCTGGGTGGGCAATAAAGAGGGCAAGGGATGTTATCTTCAAGGGACAAAATGAACTGCCGGCGAAAGCGACTGTTGATGAAGATTCCCCAGTGATTTTTGGCAGCAAGACAGACGCATTGGCAGTGTTATCGCTATTAGGAGAAGACAAAAAAACAGCCAGATGACAGCTACAGATTTAGGATTTACGAGCATGTTATTCCTTTTTTTATATTTCTGCACAAATTAGCCGAAAGTTTATTAAGTCCGGAAAATATACTTAGGGAAAAAGAAAACATTTTAAAGTTTTGTCTTGACCGAATGTCAACTAATAAGGAATTGCGAGGTAGATGGGATGAACTGACACCAAATTCGGATATACGAACATCAGTTGTTGTGTTGCAAAGAATCGTTACTTTTTTCATGAAATCCAAACAACAAATAATTCGGGAAAAAGAAGGCCTTAAACCCAACAAAAATAGTGTAGCTCTGCGACAGCAAATCAGACGACCAAATAAAAAATGTTCTACAATATCTTCCACTCAGACGACAACGGACCATCATATACAAACCTTGAGAACCAATTTTGACAGTTCTTCTTTAGACGTGTTTTTACTCCATCTGAAAACTTTGCCCCCCTCTGAACAAGAACATATATTGGGAAACCTTCAAGGGAAGGAACTGGGTAAAATTTTGAAGTCTTTGGGTCAGCCTGCATTTTTGGGGAAAAAGAAAGAAAAACAGATACAGACCCTCCTTGAGGCAGTGAAGGGGGGGATGGTATGTGTTAAGTTTCCTGATGAGGTAAGTCATAGTAAAATGAAACCACACAACATTGGCAATGAAAAAAGAAATTTTATTTATTATATATATATATTATGCATAATTGCAAAAAATTTATCTGCACTATATAATTATGACCCCCCTGTTTGAACCCCCCTCCCCAACTCCCCCCTCTCAATAATTTAACTAATTTAACATTGTCATAGGCCTTTCAGCAAAAAGAAAGTCTATATGTTTGTGACAGTTAACAACCATGTGTATAAAAAGCACACCCTCTCAAATAAATCCCCATGATAATCTACTGTTCTTTATGAAAACCTAATGTACGTAGTACATCGAATATAGAGTCTGGATATAAAATCATCCAATAATTATGCGCACTATACAAATATTTCCCTCCCTTTTCATCTTAACCCATTAAGCGCCAGCGCTCTCCCCTTGACGAGTAAAATTGTCTGGCGTTAGACAGAGTAAAATGCTAAAGTAGGGTGCATCGCCACTCAATGGGTTATTACTCCCACCCTGCCACCGTGGGTGGAATAATTTTTTGGCTTAGTGAAATCTCTGACTCTGTTATAAGTTAATTGCACACACCTTGATACAGGCCCATCTACATGATACAACTAATCTGATTCTATCCCGGCATATAGGATTCTTATACTGGCATACTGTATGTATGCCAGAGACACAGATTTTCATATTTTCGTTTGGGGGTGGGGGGTGGTGGATAAGTTAAGGAAAAAGTTTAACAAAATTTGTTTTCTATGCCTGCATGGCAAGATCTGAGACCATAATATTGGTAATTTTACAAATTCAGTAGTAAGAATAATCAAATATGAAACTACAGTATCAAATCAAAATATATGCCTTTGGGGGGGAGGGTGCAAATAATTTCTGGGGGGTGCACCCCCCCCCCCCAGAAAATCTGTGCCTGATGTATGCAAAGATGCCACATTACAAATTTTGATATAAACTATTGAACAGAAATAGTTTGTGTCGGCAATTGCTTGAACGACAATCAAGACAGAACGACAATAGTATATGACTAGTCGTATCATGTAAATGGACCTCAAGGAAGTGGGGTGCCAGTGTAGGTACTCCTGGTAAATGAGATAGACTCTGAAAGATAAACAAGAAGTTCTTGTTTATCTTTTAGGTAGTGTAAAGCTGTGTTTACACTACGAGCCTAATCCTGGCCTGGGCCTACCTTTGAACTAGATTTTTGTAGTGTAAACAAACTGATGGACCGAGATTTCCTGGCCTAGGCCAGGCTGAAGTGCATTCACACTACAAAAAACCTAGGCCAGGCTTACTGTCGTTCCAATTGAAGTGTTGCTCAAATATTGATTCAATATTACCTCGGGCTGACCAATTAATTTCATCAAGTTCCTCGAGATATTCATACACTTCCTAGTATAATTGTAAACTTCCTGTTGAATAGTTTGAATGCACCAATCACCTTTGTTGTTTGTGCAACTAACCAATCATAAATAGAAAGGAAGTGACCAGAAATGATCAAATACTTGGAATTGGCTCTTTCACAGGAAGTGTATGAATATCTCGAGGAACTTGATCAAATGAATTGGTCAGCCCGAGGTAATGTATTGAATCAATATTTGAGCAACACTTCAATTGGAACGACAGTAAGCTTGTAGTGTAAACACGGCTTAATTAAGTATCTTACTTACTGAAAGTTTATTTCTATAAGGAAGGTCAACAGATCGAAACTGGCATAGACCTTCACTTTTGACCAAATACTCTCGTTTCTATATGTTTTAGCATGGCGGACAAAGATTAACTAAGGTTGTTCGCCTAAAAGCTTATTCCTCTACCATATTGTGCATGAAACACAAGAGAGTGTAAATACAACAAAAAACGAGGCTATTGGGTTAAAAGTGAATAGTAAGGTCTATTTGACCTAAATCAATATTTTCTATTTTATATAGTTGGCAAAATAATGGTACGGATCAAGAAATGTTAAAGATAAACAGGCCACATATTTTTGGTAAAGATGCTCTCCATATTACCTCTCCTTGGAAGACTGGTGTTACTCTCTTGCTCGATACTAAGTTCTATTTCATCATTTTCCATTACATTTGTTTGCTTCTTCCTTAAAAGTTTGGTTGCCGAATATGAGATAGCACTGTTTACATTATATCCATACGCAATTGCAGTCATGTTATTTGAACCGCCACATGACTGCCTTTGCACTGAGAAAAAAGATTCGACTAGATCTTGACTTAGTCGCTTTGGAATCACATAATGACTTCCTTGGAGGGATTGGATTTCAGGACTTTCAATAAATTTTACCAGCTCTTTAATGCCGTTAATTGAAACCTGCAAAGTTAAATAAAACTATTTAGTGAAATAATGCTAATGCAAATACTGTATTCTGAATGGACTTATGTACATAATACTTGCTGTAATCTATTACTCAATAGATAACAGCCATATCTTTGGCAAGATTTTTTTGAAAACTTTTTGAAATGTTGTTTTGTAATATTTTGATAGTTCATAGAGATGATAGTCGAGCTCATAATCTAATTGTTACTGTCGTTCCAATTGAAGTGTTCCTCAAATATCGATTCAATACATTACCTCGGGCTGACCAATTCATTTCATCAAGTTCCTCGAAATATTCATACACTTCCTAGTATAATTGTAAACTTCCTGTTGAATAGTTTGAAAACACCAATCACCTTTGCTGTTTGTGCAACTAACCAATCATAAATAGAAAGGAAGTGACCAGAAATGATCAAATACTTGGAATTGGCTCTTTCACAGGAAGTGTATGAATATCTCGAGGAACTTGATGAAACAAATTGGTCAGCTTGAGGTAATGTATTGAATCAATATTTGAGGAACACTTCAATTGGAACGACAGTAATATTAGTTCAATTTCATACAATAAATAACTAATTCAAGAATCACCTGTAAATCAAACATTGTTTGCCAAGTGATAAAATGTGATGATATCTCAGATTTAGTCGTAAATTTGGAAGCAAGTTCATCTTTCCAATTGTTGAAAAATTGGAGAACATTTTCTAAATCTGTAATCCTAGAATCAGTTATTGATGAAAGTGGTTTGTCATCATTAAAAACACCCCATAATTTTTCACAGTTAAAAATGAATTTCTGGGTTGATATTGTCTCATCTGATTCCCATGTTTCCATGTCTTTCCGCACCTTCGAATTTAGGGCTTGGGCAGCAAGCTTTACCCGCATCTTACTTAAACTGTCAAGATGAACGTGGGAACTTCTTAGATCTGTCGAGAATAAATGTCTCCGCTTGTCTCTTAAATAAACAGAATAGATGTGATCCCACAAAATGTTCTTAGAATCCAGCAATAAGCATCTGGTATATCTTGGAGAATGTTCTTTATAGCCACTGTTGTATATGTTGTTACGAAGCTTCTTAATTAAATGGGGAGGCTCAGACATGAAGAACAAAGGGAGTTTGGAAAATGGGTTCTTTGTTTGGCTTGTTGTTTCATTGCAACCGTTCATTGCCATGAATGTTCTGTTCTCAGAAGCGCCATCACAACATGTCAGAATGACTTTAAAATCATAACCATGTAACAAACCAACTCCTTTCCAAAATAATCTGTTTAAGTTTTGAGCTGATATTCCTCTTGTTAGAAAATAGGAACAGGGAAATTGAAAACCAGCAAACAAACTCTTATAGAAAAATTGCAGCACATGTGTCGCAAGGCTCTCTTGTACTGTGGACGATTTGTCATCAATCTCTAAATCAGTGAAACCGATTAATTCCCAAGAGGATGGGTCAAAGAGTAAACCTTCTTTAGTTTTGACTTCATCAAAAAAAAGACCACCAAATTTTCCTGCTTCTAGAATTTTCTTGTCTACAAAGTTATTTCTCATGGCATCTAAGACAGATGTTTGCCAACCAGACTTTGAAGAACAGAAGTTCTTGTAATCGGAAAGAGTTCTTCCACTGGGAAGTTTCAAAAAACCAGATTCTCGCAGCTCAGTGTACATGCTGTGGGATTTACAGTACATTCGTAGGCACCATTTCAATATCAAAGGATGCCACCTCATTTGTTTTGAAGGCATATTTAAAGCCTTTGCTTGGTCATTCAAAAGTGTTATGAAAAAGGTATCTGACTCATTTCCTGTGTGTTCAGCAACATGGGTATGGAGAAGTTTTTTTTTCCCAAAATGTTTGTTGCAGCCTAGCCACTCACAAGTATATTGCCTGTTAATTGGTGCAACATCATCGACTGTTTTGATATGTACACTTTTTATATGTCCAAGTAGCAACTCTGGCGATTTAAACTCAGTTTCCAAATTACAATCCTCCCAATAACAAGTGTTGTTATCATGTTTCTCAACAACTTTATTCAGTCCCTTATAAAGTTGTTGAAATAACTTTCT